ACTTTCGAGGTTATCGTCAACAGGTGCCCTTGAGGCTCTTCACAAGAATCTTACTGGGGATCTCGTGCCACTCTCGGAGGAGCAGTTAATCGACTGCAGCTTTATCGATTATGGGAATGCGTGAGTACCTCGATTGTAGCCTACTTGTATACGACTCTTCGACACTTCAGGGGGTGTTTGGGTGGAGACATGTCCAACTCATTCGAATACGTGGCGGATCACGGTATCGCTTCGGAGAAGGATTATCCATATACATCAACTAATTCTGGGTATTCAACTCCTTCTCCCTGTCAGCACGATCATACGGCCATAATCGCGGTGAGTTCAGCAATGTTCATCCGCTGAGCTTTTGATCCACCCAATCCTCAGCCCCATTCCACATGGTATGTGAACGTGACAAAAGCCTCAAAGCCCGCCCTTCTGGCAGCGATAGCCTTGAGTGGGCCAGTCAGTGTCGCCATTGATGCGGGATCGAGAGCCTTCCAACACTATGGCGGAGGGGTTTTCAATTGTACGGTGACATGATACTGTCATGCTCCCATGTGGAATGCTTTTCGGTTTCAGCTCCGTGCAATACGACATTGGATCATGGTGTTCTCGCAGTTGGCTATGACTTGGAAGCAATTGAGCCGTGAGTTCATCACTCGTCATGAGCGATCGCACTCGACGAATTAATACGCTGATCAGTTACTATCTTGTAAAGAACTCCTGGGGAGCTTCATGGGGCGACAAAGGTTACATCAAGATGGCCATTGACGATTCACTTAAGGGTGAGTCCACCCCTCCGGCACAGTTCAAAGCTCTCTCTCGTAACCAGATGCTATTTTCAGGTATCTGCGGCATTTTGCTCGATGCGAGTTATCCCATTGCAGCTTTCTAGCCATCTGCTGCGCCTAGCCCAGTGAGGAATTCAGAGCGGTCGCTCGTCAGCAGTTTCATGAAGTTTCCCGTGATGGCTTATCATTTACAAGAGGAAGCGTGCTGCGAGTGCTGATGCTATCGCACTGACTCTTATTTCTATGATGCACGCATGCGCATCAGCATGAATATTGCCGGTAGAACGCATGCGCATCTTCTTGACCTTCTGATGATGTACGTGTGCACCGTCTAGGTATTTACATCAGTCCACACACGATTGCTCCAAAGTGTCTCGTCACTCGTGTAGAGCTCCACATACGATTGCTCCAAAGTGTGTCGTCGCTAGTGTAGAGCGTACTCACCTTTTTCCTGTCGCTGCATTTTCATCCTTTTTATTCCCCCCCTCCGTCCGTCCCTATACGGATTGTGATGATGACTTCTCGGGGCTTGACAACTCTGCTATAGTTGTCGCTTATTCAGACGAGGATTCGTGATTGATCCTGTCTACTTTTCTCTTTCGTATACTCATTATTAGACTTATTGAGAAATAGTCAAGAACTTATGAGATTACAAGGTATGTCTGTGACGCGTCCGATAATTGGGTGTATCTCACGTACTTCAGGGGTTCTTATTTGGATCTTCACCTTCGGTCTATTCCGTCACTATTACTCCGATATGGATACGAGTGCTAGTAGAAAAAGCGATGTTGGGTTGCACGCGAGTCCGTCGTCGATAGCTTTCAATGAAGAGTCTGCAGGGGAGGAAACCGTGTCGCTACATTCTTTGGCGATCTCGGTGGGGCAGAAGGTGAAGGAGATTGCGAACACGGTGAATGTGCGAAGTAGCGCTCTCGATGAAGTAACGGCACTCTTGTTGAGCTATGAGGAATTCCCCACGGCGGAGGGTTCAGAAGCACTCGAACGATTCGTTGGGGCAGCATTGGAGGAGGTTAAGGAGGAAGTGTTGGAGCTTGTTGCGACCGTAGACTGAGTTCGATGAAGTTGAAAGTGCGATCTATGAGCAATTTGAGAATTTAAAAACCTATTTGGTCTTGGAGTTGAGGGCACAATCTCGAGATCCAGGGGAAGCCAGGGCCATCCGTCCGGCTAGGAAGGCAGTACGGGGTCAACCGTGGGCTAGTTCTTATTCGCCTTTTGCTCTCAACCTTCTGGAACCGTTCCTGGAAAGAATTGCTCAGCGACGGTGCGACATGATCAGAAGGGATACGGGAGAGGCCGAGGGATTACGTGAGCAAGTACGAGGTGGCGAGAGCCGAATGAGCCGACAGACCGACAAGCCCACGCTGATGAAACCAGAAGAGGGTCGACGGTGGTAGCGGATAAGTCTGAAGCCAAGGAAGGTGATGAGAAGATGGGTGCGGTTGTCACAAGGGGAAAATACATTCCAACTGGCAATCCCATTGACATCTCGAGGGGAGGTGTATCCTGGGGTTCGCCTGGGATGTCAGAGGAGAAAGCTACCGATGTCTTGCAAGGCCAAGAGCTGCTCAGAGAAGGAGAGAGGGAGAAAATCCGTAAGGCCGCTGAGGCGGGCCGTGCTCCTCCGGGTGGACCGTATAAGTTCACGAGAAATCTCGCACTGCATTCGCCCTCGCTCCCGTAGGAACTTCTATTCGAGTTAACTCGTTAACGAAGGTAAAACCGATCATTGGCGACGTTTAACTTCACTGCAAGTGTTGGTCACAAAGTGACTGTCTTCCTGAACTTTGTAGCGAACTCCCACCCAGACCGGACCGGTCTGACCGGTGAGAGACAAATATTGTATTGGGACTTGCAACTTGCGAGCTTAGCTAAAGAGTGCCTCAATAAGGTTAGACCGAAGCAGATGTTGTAGAAACAGCAACATATCGTTTGTTTTTTTTCTCCATGGTAGACCGCACAATTGTTGTTAGGCGCAATGTTGTTGACCCTCTACTTGAAGGAGAGGTTGTTGATGATGGCATCGAAGAGATGTTGGTGGAGCAACTCGCCAAAGAAAAGATACTTTCTACTTTGCTCTTGTCGAACGTCTCTGATGAAGTTGTTAAGAGGATGACTGAGCGTGTTGCTGAAGCCGACAGGGAAGCCTTCAAGCTCTATGCTCTGACCCTTATAGATCAAGCCAAGGCTGCTCAGGGCGCAAAGCGCCGTAGGGTAGAGTCTGAGCAAGAAGAGGAGGATTTCGACAAGTTCAAGAAAAACATCCAGGATCGATTAGGTCCAGATGTAAAGGTTCCTGCTACATTGGTGCCCCCCTATCGCTTGCTCAACCGCCTATCGAGCTCTCCCTTTGATCACATTGCGGCCCCTGAGTTGTTGGCCAGCGCTGCATCAACTGAAAGACGAGGCATTCAGCAGGCTGAAGATGTTAATACCGGCAAAGCCGTCTCCGTGCGCACAGGTAAATCTCGTAAAATAACGTCGCTTGCTCAGTATGTTGAATTTTACATTCGCTGGTGTACCGGAATCTTTAAGGTGTGTGGTAAAAAGTCGTAGGTAAACTCTCTTGCCATGCTCAAATACTTATTGAAGGTCATTCAGCTCGCTGAGAAACGAAACGTTCAAGCAGCTGTGATTTATGACCATAAATACCGTGGTTCCTTAATAGGATACCACCAACAAGGTCACTCGATTGCTGACGTTCTGGAGAAGGTTTTAGACCCATCTATGTACATTTCTGCTCAGTTTGGTGGTTTGGAGGATACTGATCACGTCTTCGGTAACAACGAGAATGAAGAAGCGAAGAAAGACTGGTGCGTGTATCTTCTACCAACCCAAAAGAGGCTCCTAATCTCAATATCCGGTGTGGAAACAAGTTTTTTAGACACCTGCGCCTAGCCTTTAGTCACCGTAACTCGCCATATTGTTTTTACCGAGTTGCGGGAGCTGTACACCGAGCTATAGTCTCGTTGCTTCATACCAGGTCTTTAGAATCTTGCTCGGACTTAACTAGTGGCCTTCTGTATATTGATGATATGTTGTACGTAGGAACAGAACGCACTATTCTGCTATCCATGGCCTTGACTATCCGGATCTGGAATATCTGCGGTCTCACTCTGGCCTACGAGAAGATTAGCGTTGGCGAGGTTACCAAATTTTTGGGCTTCCAAGTAACATTTGCATTTGATAAGCCCCAAGTTGCCATCACCGCTCCTTACTCAAAAATCACTGAGCTTCTGAGACTCACCCATCAGATTCTGTCCAAAGGACGAATAACACCTAAGCGGTTGTCAAGGCTTACGGGAAAACTGGTTTGGGCCTTGCAATGCTATCCAATGGATAGTATCCATCGCTCAAGCCGTATCTTGGATCGTGTTTTCAGTGCATTGCTATGCTAGAACGCAAAGCCTTGGCGTGTGCCAGGCTCCCCTGCATACTTCGAGAGGATCTCAGGTTTATCGAGAAGTTTTTCCGGGCCACCACCCCCGAAAGTCTCTATTTCGAGGTGCCAGCTGAACCTAGTTATCCAGAGTCTGTAAGACTGGTTGGTTGCGACGCCTCCTTGCACTCGTTAGCAGGATTCGTCCACTGTTGTCGAACTTGGCGCTATTGGAGCTTCGAGGTGGCGGAGCCACCTATCAAACTCAAGAAGAACTTAATCAAGGCTAAATCCGAC